CCAAAAAGTGGAAGCAACCTAAGTGTCCATCAATAGGATGGATAAACAAAATGTAGTATATACTTATATTGGAATATTCATCAGCCTTAAAAAAGGAAATTTTGACATATGCTGCAATATGGATGAATCCTGAAGACATTGTGCTAAGTGAAATAGCCAGTTACCAAAGTACAAATATTGTATGATTCCTCGTACAAGGTTCCTAGAGCAGTCAAATTCATAGAGATAGAAAGTAGAATGGTGGTTTTCAGGGGCTGGGGGAAGGGAGAAATGAGGAGTTAGTGTTTAATGGGTGTGGAGTTTTAGTTGGGGAAGATGAAAACGTTCTGGAGGTGGCCGACGGTGATGGTTGTATGATGGTGTGAATGTACTTAATGCCATAGAACTGTACACTTAAAAATGGTTAAAATGGTAAATTTTTTTGTGTGTATTTTAACAAAAAAAAAAAAAAAAAAAAAGAGAAAAAAAAAAACTTGAAATGTCACCGAGCAGAAATTACAAACTATAGGAGGCATAATTTGACATATTAAAGGAATGACCTCTAGACCACAGAACTTCACTTCCCTAACCTTTCCTTAGAATGATGTACACATAACACACCTTTCCTTGTGTAGACTATTTGGAACAGTGAACAAGTTGAAAACTGAGCCTATGATTGTTACCTGATTAAATGTAATGCATCTTGTGTCAGGGATTTGTTGCACTAACTGAAGTTTCTTTATTCTTGTCTATAGGACAAGTGTTGGACAGCAGGAGTCAGTCCCCATGGAGATTGTCTTTTATAACGGATTTCTTCTGGGGAATAGCTGAGTTTGTGGTTTTGTTGTAAGTATAGTAGTCCTCTTAATAGCCCTGATATTTAAGTTCAGCTTGCCTGAAGCACTTTTTAATTGTAATTTTTATTAATAGCTTTTCTAAGGGAGATGAAGACTTGTGTAGTGATAGAACTGCCCCAAACATCTTTTATGATTATGAATATGTTCCTTGAGTTAGTAAGCTTAACCATGTCTTAGCCGTGGTGGTAACCATTTCAGCCTGCAGCTATGGGGCCAGACCTGCTCGTTCTGCCAGATGACAGCACTTTGCTTTCTCTCAACTGTTCCTGCCTTCAGTGCGTATGTGCAACTTTTATGGCATAGTATACAAGTAAACAAGGGGAATTAGATCTTGACTTTTAAAAGCTCCCAAGGCATAAACTTTTTTTTAAATGAAGGATTAGCATCGATACAGAGGAGACAAAAATTTAAACTTCACCATAATTTCAAGCAATTCTTAGTTAAATTCATTTTTTGGTCTTTCATATGCTGTTTGTTTTATGAAAATTGTTCATCTACTAACAAGTCTTACTCATCCAAAGTTTGAATATACATTTGAGTGTCTCGTGGGCAGAGAACTGCAGATATGCAGAGATGTGGGATGTCTCCTTACTTCATTGATTTTAATATCAGTAAATGTCTTCTTTTTACAAGGGGCCTTGCGCTGGTCATGATTGTGGGAGGAGGACGTCAGAGGAGGTTATTCCAGGTGGAAGAGGCACAGCAAAGATGGCAGAGAAATTTGAAAATCAGCCTATGCTCTTTATACTTAATTTGATTGTAGCTCTGGTTTAGAAAGATTAATCTGATGGCTGCATGTGGCATAAATTAGACGGGGTAAAATGGAAGAAACTGTTCCATAGAGAAATACAACAGGGGACAGAGAGGCCTAAGTTAAGTTACTCATTGCAAAACTTCTTTGCAGTCTCTTACAAATTTCACCTCCATATTGTTTATTTAAAATATTGTTTTAATTTAGTTAAATCCTTCCCGCTCCACAAATAAAATTCCATTTAAACGGATTCCCAGAAAGCCCTGTGCCTCTGGCACACCACTTCAGCCCCTCCTTCCCCAAGGTAACATTAGGTAGGCTGTTGGCACAGGAAATGGACATGCAATACTGTAAAAGCAGACTCTGGGACTTGACAACTGATACAGAGCAGAGGAAGGAAGTTGGAGATGACTCTGGTTTCAGAGTCATTGCTAGACTCTGTCTAGAAGAGTTACAGCAAACAAGAAAGACAAGGAATGGTGGCTTTGGCACAGAACATAGCACACTCTGTTTAGACTTGTGCTTGCGCTAGATGGTGTTGTCCAGCTGGCTTCAAGAAATGTGGGTTTGGAGCTAAGTTAGGGTAGTCATCCTTCCACAGAGATGATAGTTGGAACCATGGAAATGCATTTTATAATGTTGAAAGTGGATCTTCTGTTGTTTTCTGCCCCTTGTTTCAGTTTCAGAACTCTGTTTCAGCAAGATGTGAAAAAGAGAAGAGGCTACGGAAGCTCATCTGATTCCAGATATGATGATGGAAGAGGGTATAACTTTTTAAATTGATAAACAATGTTTTTACTCCTCTGTGTAATATAATTAAATTAGAGATAAATAGGCAGACAGACATAGTTAGGCTCATGGTAATTAAAGGCTTAAATTCTATTTCACAAAATTAATGTATTACTGTAAATTAAATCAAGTTGCCTTTGATTTGATAATCAGAGTTAATCTGACAAAGCTAAAATGTATATCAAATATCCTATGGGAAAAGTCTAAATTAGAGGATGAAAACTGATGGCCAACATTAAAATCTAGAGGTTTCACTTCAGAATCTGGATTTCCAGCTGCTAATGAAAATCTCACAATCCAGCAGCACTGGGTGGGGATTGTGTTTCTATATGGCAAAAATCAGCTGAAGCTGGGCTTCAGTTGGAGATTTATAGGAGGAGCTGTTCCGTTTATCCTAACCCTTGCTTGACTCACTTTCCTCATGTGCTTTATGCATCTGGTCTCTTTCAGTATTTGAATTTGTGACTCGCGACCTAAATGGTAGTTCCTATTTTAAATAAAGAAGAGGGTCTATTTGAGTGCTTAAAAGGAATCAATTGAAGTAGTGTCTACTAAACAGTAGAAATTAACTTTTCTTATCTTAGGCCACCAGGAAACCCCCCGAGAAGAATGGGTCGAATTAATCATTTGCGTGGCCCTAATCCTCCTCCAATGGCCGGTGGATGAGGAAGGTAATTTAAAACCTGCAATTCTGCAGGGATTTCATTTTGAAAATGCCTCCTTAGGCAGGTTTTCTTTAGGAAAGCAGAAGTCACAACATTTTGTGATTATTCAGACATCTTATTTGGAAAAATATTTTTATCTTAACCCTTGAAAAATTGTCTTTTGAATCAAAATGTCTTTTGAAGAAGGTTTTATAACATGTAATGACTAGCTTTTTTATACAGATCCAAATTACTAACTAGTAACTATTATAACATTTTCTTTTAGGTAAATGTCTGCTCTAAGAAGCAGACAACTGGACAAGCACATTCATAGCAGAAGGAAACCATCAAGAAATGGAGTGTTGACCACACTGGACAAGTTAGATGAATGTGTACTCTAAACAAGGATTGCTCTGTGTCCTCACAGATGAATGAGGTCGTGCTGGGAATTCCCCCCCGCAGGGATCTGGCATGACTGATAGGCAGTTCTATAAATGCACATGTTTGTCTCATCTTTTTTGTATCGTTTATGAAAGTATTGATATAGTTTTAATAAGTAAATATTTTTAGGTTACAAGACTGACTTCTCATCTTTATATAATTAAGACACAGAAGGCTCCAAATTTGAAAATAAACGGCTGCATATTGAGTACTATTAGTGTCACCCTTTTCAACTTCTGAAATACTGTTCATTGCTTTTGTTGTTCTTTATAAATAAATCACAGTGTATTTCAGTAGTATGCATATGATATCTGTGCTCTTGAATTAATTTTTATCTTAAAGCCTATTTGTCCCATGGATCTTTAATACAATGTGTCTTACTTGCTACCAGATGTAATTATCAGGGTATTTGTAAAGCCATAACCAACAAGCCTGAGCTACAGAATGTAGATTTGCCAGGTGGTCTTTAAAATCGAGGACTTCAATGCTATCTTTACCAATTTTAATTCTAAACCATTGCTTAAGATACTGCCTGTTGGCTTTAACCCCATCTGAATGCTGGTAACTCTCATTCTTTCACTAGAATGAAAGCTCTATGAGGTTACGGATTTTGTCTTCTTTACCCCAGTGCTTTGAATAGTGACTACGTGTAATAGGCACTGAAATATTTATGGAAAAAATGAATAATACAGATAATTCTACTTTGTGTTTAACAGTCTTTGAAACCAAAGTGTTCAGTAAAATCACTTTTATATCCGTTTATAAGTATTTATTCAACTCTGTTTGCCAGGAAATGGGGATGTAGTGGCATTAATAAACACTGGTCTGTATGAAAACCAGACTACAGGCGGACAAAACTGGAAGCAGGGAATTGGGTTTTGAGGATGTTGTGGTGGTCCAGGTGAGATCGGACCAGGTAGTGGCAGTAGGAGTGGAGAAGTGGATGCATTCAAGGCATATTTGAGGGACTGCGGGATTTGCTGATGGATTTGCATGTAGAAGATGTGGACAATTGAAGAAACAAGTGAAACAAGATGGTGAAAATTAGAGTAGATTTTTGGGGGGGAGGCGGGGATCGAGTTACATTTTGGATATATTTAAGTTTACAATGCCTTGTAGACATCTAAGTGGAGATACTAAATAAGCAGTTGGTTATCAGGGCGAGATCCAAACTGGAAATACATATTTGGGAGTTATCTTCATACTTAAAGCCATGGAACTGGATAAAGTCATCCAAGGAGTGTGTAGAGAGAAGACCTAACTCCAGAGAATCCTAACATCAGAGGCCCGACTGAGCATGGCCAGTGAAGTACGAGGAGAACTAGAATTACGTATGGTGTCTGAGAAGCCAGAAAAGACAGGTGTGATGACGAAATGAGATACCAGTTATCAGCTGCTCCACAGCAAGCACGCAAAACAAAGGTTGCGGGCATGCTGCAGCCAGGACCAATCACAGCAACATCCAGCCAGTGCACCCTCCCACCTTACCCTCCTCCGGGCAGCTCCGCCCTTCCGCTTTCCCGGAATGCTCTGGGCCGACTTCCGGCGGCCATCTTGGTTGTGGGCAGTCGGCTGAGAGGTTGCGCCTGTTCCGAGGCCTGTTCTCTGGTGGTCGCGTTGCGTCCTTGAGGCTAGAGGCTGGAGGGGCGTCGGCGGCCGAGATGACCCAGGCCGAGAAGGGGGACACGGAGAATGGGAAAGAGAAGGGCGGGGAGAAGGAGAAGGAGCAGCGCGGCGTGAAGCGACCCATCGTGCCCGCGCTGGTGCCGGAGTCGCTGCAGGAGGTGAGGCGCGGGGGGCGGGCCTCGGACTCGGCTTCCGGGCGGGGCGGGGGGCCGCGGAGCTGGGCTAGGGGGAGGAGGCTGGCGAACGGCGGGAGTCTTCGGGCGCCCACCCAGGTGGGTGGTGCAAGGGGGTCGTTCCCCGCTTTCTCCGAGGGCACAGTGCAGATGGCCAGGCCAGTGACACCAGCCACTGTGCGAACCCCAGCCTCCCGGGCTATGAGACCAGCACAGGGCTGTCACCTTCCTGCCAACTAGTTTGAGGGGGCAGACTGGATGGTGTGTAAGGGCCTTACCAGTTCCCACTCTCTAGGATTCTCCCACTTGGCGGGAAGGGGGAGCTCACGGTTGGGGATGGGCAGTAAGTATCTAGGGCATGGAGTGGGATGGAGTAGTGCAGAGGACCGTAGGGGGAGGTATTGGGCACACACAGCAGGTACCTCCTCCAGCCCTGACGGTCTGGGACAGTTTCTTCGATGGAGGTGACACCTGGACAAAGACCTAAAGGGTGATTAGGAGTTAGCCAGGGGGAATGTGAGGGCAGGAGAACAGCATGGAAGAGACCTGGGCCAAGGGAGGATATGAAATGTTGGAGATGAGGATGTCTGGAATTGAGGAAGAAGAAGGAGCAAGACATGAGACTGGAGATCTTAACAGGGATGGCATCAAGAGGGTCGTATAAGCCAGAGCCTGGCCTCTTCTGAAGGGAATGCAGAACTTGGGAATAGATAGCCAGACTCCGAGCTACATGATGAGCTCGTTTAATCCTCACAATAGCTCTCTGAGGTAGGAACTTTATCTAGAGCAAGGAAGTGGCACAGCCTGAATTTCGAGCCAGATTTGTGAATCTGGAGCCTGGGCCATTAGCCACTATAACAACATTTGCTTAACTTCAGTCATGTAACAACTTTTGGTTTTTCCATATCCTCTGTGAGAGCTCTACCATTATTTGCTGAATAACTGTTTTTACTCAATTTTATCTTAAGCAGTAATGTCCAGGAAATGATGTGTAGGATATATTGGCTAGTTGTTTTCTGATATGTTAAGATAGATATGTAATTATTAAAAACTGCTTGTCCACACTTTGGAAAACTGCGTTTACTACCCCAGAGCTTCGCCATCAGTGTGCTGCAGCCTGTGTACTATTAATGAGGTACAGATGTCCCTGATGGCAAGCCACCTCATCTGTTTAACTCAGTTTGCTAGATAAATGTTGTCTGCCATAGCACGCAAAAGCTTGAGAAGTGTGCTGCAGGGCACCAGGCCATGTGAGAGTGGTGCCATGGGCATTCAATAAATACCTACTAGGCTCCTGTATGCCGTGCACTGGGCACAGAGCAGTGAACAAGACAGTAGTAGTCCTTTACATGAAGGTTTTGTCTTTTGAGAGAGCAGACAGTAAATCATTACAAGAATGATAAGTGTCATGAAAAGGAGGGGTGCCATAAGATTTTATTGCAGGGGGACAAATAAACCTGGTCTGATGACATTTAACTTTACACCTGAAGGGAGGAGTAAGATTTAACAGGGAGAAAGAACACTGCAGGCAAGGGGAGTTGCGTTTGTGAAGGCCTGAATGTCAGCACAGTGAACTAAGAAATCAGGAGACATCTGGATTGGGAAGATTAAAGAGACTGAAAAGTAAGTGGTTCTAGAGTAAAGCTAGAGAAGTAGGCAGGGTCTTGATCTTGGAGATTCTGGACTGTATCTTATTGGAAAGTTACGGAAATATTTTAAATGAGGACATGCCAAGAAGACACAACTGTAGCTTAAGGGCAGAGCAGAGTAGGTGCTGATTTAGGAGTCACACTGGAATGGTGATTCTCAACAGTGGCATCCTGTTGTCAAAGGGATTGTTCGAGTCCCTTCTTCCCCCACTCCCTCCTGAAACTCTGGGCCCCTCAACAGGTTTACGTGGTAAAGGTTCCCTAGTGATTCAGGTTATATTCTGCCCCCTTGAGAATTACAGATCTAAAAGCCCACAGTCATTACTCCACTGTCCTGATTTGTGCTGCTTTGTCAGTCCTTGTTCACTGTCTCCCAGTAATGGATGGTGAAATGCAGCAGAGCTCTCTGACCTGTGAGGATAGAATTGTGAACTCTGGTTTCTTAACCGCAGACTCTTGCCAGATCACGTAAATAGTACAGAACCAATAAGGGTGAAGTGTTTAAAAAACAATGACGAAAATACAGTTCATGCACATTCTTGGAAGTGGTCCGTGTATAAAGTCCACTTACTTTCCAGCATTGCAAAACAGTGATTCTGATCTTAAATTAACTTCTTCTCTCACCTTCTCAACCAGTGTTGTCACATCTGAGTGATCATACTAATTACTTCAGGAGCTTTTGTAAATTGCAGATTCCTAGGCTCTCTCTTCCTGGAGATTCTGAATCAGAAAATTTGTAGTGAAGCTTTAGGGTCTTTTTTGTTTTGTTTTGTTTTAACAAGGATCTTTAGGTGATTCAGATTTAGGGAACCCCATACTTCACAAGTCATAGTATTCCTCACACTCTTATTCGTTGTTTAACTCTCTTCTCTAGTAAATGGGAAGTTCTCTAGTGGTCAGGACTTCGTCCTGGTCACCATTGTACCCACAGTGATTGGCACAGAAATGCCCCCAAATTATAGCTTGATTTGCGTTGGGTACTTAGGATTTCGTTCACTTAAACAAATATTTGTTGACCTATGTACCCTGAGTCAGATCCTCGGCACACAGATACAAAAAGAGTTTGCATGCAGGCAGAGAGCAATATTTGGATGCCTCTCAGAGAACTCCCTTTACTGAATTATTTTGATACCTTTGAGTTTGATAGTCATTACAGGAAACTAATTTCTTAGTCTAGCCTGTTACCTCTGTGTTATTTAACATGTTACCTGCATGTTATTTACTAAGGTCACACTCCTATGTTTTGTATTTGCAGCAAATCCAGAGCAACTTCATCGTTGTCATACATCCAGGTTCAACAACTCTGAGGATCGGTCGAGCCACAGACACACTTCCTGCCAGCATTCCTCATGTTATTGCACGAAGACACAAACAACAAGGGCAGCCCCTGTACAAAGACAACTGGCTCCTAAGGGAGGGACTAAATGTAAGTCAGAAATGGAGGACGCTGGCGTTCCAGTGGTTAGGACTCCGAGTTTTCGCTGCCGAGGGCCCGGGTTCAATCCCTGGTCAGGGAACTAAGCTTCCACAAGCCGTGCAGTGTGGCCAAACCCCCCCTCGCAGCACACACACACAAAAGAAATGTAAGACCTAAAGAGAAAGCCCAGGGTTGTCTCCTTGGGAGGGCTTCAGTATTCAATATATGCTATAATCTTGAACGACATCTTCATAGCTTTAATGTATTTTAAAATAACGACATCATTCAGGGTTACAAATGTCATTTTTTATCTGAGCTATCAATTTTAGATTGTACAGAAATAATTATAACAAAAGTAAATCTAATTTTTTAACCCATCGGGATGAATTGGGTATTGATGAAGATGATCTTTAGTGGAAGATACAGAATTGTCACTCCCTTAAAATGATGCATCCAGATGTCTATTAACTGACTGCCATATTTTCTCTTCCAGATACTTAGAGTTTAAATTGAGCTCATATTTTCAATCTGTAGCAAATTGAATTGCTACAATAAGCACTTGTTACAATCTTAGATCAAATCATAATTTAAAGGCAAAAAATAGTATTTCCTTGGAGTAAGCATTTACTTAGGATGCAGCAGGCATCCTATTTTGCAGGTGATAATTAACAGGAAAATTTTTGTGATAGGTGTTAAATATGTGTATTGCATTGTAATCTGCTTTAAGTTTTAAATCAAGGGTAGTTTTGGGAACTTGCAGTTTCTATAATTCTTATAGTAAGCCTTAGGGTTCCATTTTTTAGCATAACTAGCAGACTCTCCTTAAGTCCATTTCTAAGCTTAAGTATAACTTGACAGTGTAAGAATCTAAAATTCGCATATCTTTGGATCTTACAATTCTATTTTAGGAATAAATCTCAGGAATAAAAATGGAAAGAAAACAAAATAATATTTTATAAAAATATAGTGTTCTTTGCAATATCACAAGAACTTGAATACTCATTAATTAAGTGAAATAACACATGAAGGAATAAAACATTGTTATAAAATTGTAAACATGAGAATTATATAGATATATGGAAGGGTCTCTCGAATACTTTGTAAATATAAAGTGGCAGTGCGCTGATATCAGTCAAAAGTCACTTGAGGTTATAGATTTTTGCAGATAGTTTTATGGCGATGGCTCTTTTCTGATTTTTTTATTTATAAATAATAAGAAGATTACTTTGAATTCTTAAGATTAATACGTGTGACAGAGGTGAAGGACATGCTACTCGTTGATGAGGGAGCATTTGCTCTTGCTGGATTAAATTAGTATTTTGCCATTTCTTTCTCTTTTTCACTAAATTCTTTATACGCTTCATCTCTCTTCTTTTTCCCCAGAAACCTGAAAGTAATGAACAAAGACAAAATGGCCTTAAAATGGTGGATCAAGCAATATGGTCTAAAAAGATGTCAAATGGTACAAGACGGATTCCTGTGTCCCCTGAGCAGGTTCAGTCTCAACTCTTTCTTCAGATTCATTCTTTGACCACTGCTATTAAGTCGTAACCATTCGTGTGCACTCCCTATTTCATTATGCAAATTAAAGATGGGATTTCCTTAAAAGAGGAAGAAAAAACATTCTTAACCACCTACAGAATACCTGAATTGGTGTTGCAAATGTCTAGGCAAGCCAAATAATTTGTAAGGTGGTGTTTCTTGTGTCAAGTTGATGAAAATTTAATTTATCTGAGAGTCTTAAGTGTGTAATTCCAGGATCTTGATGGGAAGCTGTATTCTTACTACATTTGTCATTTTAATGTGATAAACCAGTGCTGCTAGGAGTGGACATGAGTCTATACGATATATAAATCTGTATTCAACTTTCAGCAGAGTACAGGATTAATTTTGGACTGACTGAATCACTGCCTAAGTGTTAACATTATGGGAGAAATCAAGATTGTGGTATAGGGCAGGAGAATCCACTTGTGACCAATCAATATTTTGTCACATATCTTGGATTTATGATTAAAATTTGCCACTGTATCTGGTCTGTGAGAGAGGAGAAAAGAGGACAACCCCTTTTTGTTTTCTTGCATGGATTCAGAGAATTTTCGGATGCTCTTTTGTTTCAGGCACGTTCCTACAACAAGCAGATGCGACCTGCGATTTTAGATCATTGCTCTGGAAATAAGTGGACAAACACATCTCATCACCCTGAGTTTTTGGTAGGAGAAGAGGTAGGAAACATCTTTACAGTGAAATGGAAGAAGAAAACCTAGATACTATTTATAAAATTAATTTGCTTTGCCACCTAGTTCTAGTTTTTCTTAGCATTCTGTAATCCTACCCTGAGGACCAGATATTCACACTGGCTCCTGAGATGTTACATACACCACTCTCAACATTAGAACAGTCAGCAAATGTTAATGATAACTTCTGGCCTTAGGTTTTTGAATGTGAATCTAGAAAACCCTGAGAGAAGAGTTTTAACAATGTATTCATCTCCCTGTCTTTTCTAGGCCCTGTATGTTAATCCTCTGGACTGTTACAATATTCACTGGCCTATCAGAAGAGGTCAGTTAAATATTCACCCAGGACCTGGGGGCTCCCTTACAGCTGTTCTGGCAGATATTGAAGTAATATGGTCTCATGCGATACAAAAATACTTGGAAATCCCACTGAAAGATTTAAAGGTAAACTAAAATGACCAGTTGTTGGATTGTCTTTAAGATTCTTGGTCAATAAAAGTATACTATACTCAGTTGTTTGTAAGACAGTGTCCTTGAAGCCTTCTCGACCTTAAGCTGTTAAGGATATCTTTTTTCCTTCACTGAATTCCCCTCTGGTGCTTTCTTTTTTTTCTCATTTTGTTTGGTTCTTGGTGTTCCTCTCAACTGCTCTGCAATCAGCAAGCTTGCTCATGTTTATGCCTTCTCTCTGGACCTTTTTCGGAAACATCAGTTGTCTTATTTTTCATTTTACAAGTGTTAAATAGCTCAAAGGGAAAAAAGCCCACAAAACTTAAGCATTTTCTGTTTTTTTTTCATAAAACCTAAAGGATAGCAGAGAGCTTTGAGTTTTTATTTTGAGCCTCTAGCCATTGCTGCTACTGCTTTAGAGAGAATCCTCTTTGACGACAAGTGTGGTGAAATTTATTTTGACCTGACTTGAGTGTTAACCATTTTATATTTTTTCTTTGTTCTTTTTAGTATTATAGATGTATCTTGTTAATTCCTGATATCTATAATAAACAGCATGTGAAAGAATTAGTGAATATGATCCTAATGAAGATGGGGTTTTCAGGTATGTCTGATGTCCCAGTGAAATCTGCCTGAAATGAGATAAATGAGATTGTTTTTTTTTTTTTTTCCTGACAAAGTTAATCTAATTCACTGCTTTATTGAAATGCTTATTCTGGGAGGGTCAGTGATACTTGGGTGATTGCCTGGAGGTTCCTAGATTTTAATTGAATACTTGTTGTAGGATCTTCCCTGCTCCCCGGGTGTTCGCCCCTCTGCCTTTTGTCTTTCAGGGATCGTGGTCCATCAGGAGTCTGTGTGCGCCACCTATGGGAGTGGTTTAAGCAGCACGTGTATTGTAGACGTTGGAGACCAAAAGACAAGCGTGTGCTGTGTGGAGGATGGGGTCTCTCATCGGAACACTCGGTGAGGAGCTTGGGAGGAGGCATCCCTGCTCCTTCTCCCCACACAGCCTGTTCAACTGAAAGCATCATGAGTTAGAAAGAAGTTTTTGTAAGGAATTACATACTCAGATTTTTCTTGTGAAACTAGTAAGATTGTGGCAGTGCAAATTCTAACACGGCTATAAATAGCCGATTTTACCCCTCCCATTTGAACTCTCTCATATGAGTTCACATTAGCAGCTCCCGAAAGCCCTAGTGTGTGTTGTGTGCTTTCCCACAGAGGAAGTGTGTATGTTAGCTCTGTGTCTTTCACTATGGTGTGGCAGAGAGATACCAGTCACATTCACAGCAAAGCTTTATTTGGGCAAGTCATGTAGGAGAGAATAGGTTTTCAGGTCTGAATTCTCTAGCTAGCTAGCATTTTGAGTATTTGCTTTTCTCGTCATAATTGTTTTTGGTGAGTGAGGAGTAACTTTATCGTGGTCAAGTCCATTCATTATGTCATCTCTGATAGAAGAGGTAATAAAATACCTAGCAGGAGCAGGTTTGCTGCTTGTCTGTCCTGAGACAATCCCAGCACAGGTAAGCACACTCAGGTAGTGCACACACCAGTTCTCTGCAGCATTTTGTGCTTCCAGGATGGCTTCTTCAGGATGCTTTAATTCTTCCTGTCACCCACATAGGAAGTTTGACTCTTAAGTCATAGAAACAAATTTAAAAGAGGGTCCAAGCAGTCCATGAGAAAGGTTAATTTGTTACCTCCCACCCCAAGTTACAGTGCATTCTCAAACCCAGATTGAGTTGTTTGGGCTCATCCATTTGTAACACCTAATGCCATTAGTTTTCAAAGTGTAGAGAAAACAGTGGACCCAGGTCTTGTACCACTAAAACAGCACAGCAGCGATCTTTCCAAATCGTAGAAATATTGTTAGTAGATAGTATTCGCTAAGGTTTTCTCCCTTAACTTTGTCTTACGGTGTCACTGCCTGCCATTTCTACATGTTGGTGAGTACAGACAGTCAAACAGCTGTCATATGCTACACATATGGACTTGGAAATGAGCTGGATTTAATGTGTATTCTGTTTCTTGGACAGTTTTTGCAAATAGCATTTTTTGCTTCTAGATGTTCACCACTGGTTTTTGCTAGCTTCCTTTCTCTGTCCCTTACATCCATTCTGTCCTTTCATGCTTTAATTTATCTCTACAACATTTCTTGAAACTTGCTGTGTTTCACTGTGCCTAACTGAGTTTTTGGAGCACCGTTTGCACCTTCTTAACTGACAGCTTACCCATCTGCCCTTTTCTCTTAACACTAGGCTCTGTCTGGCATATGGTGGATCTGATGTGTCAAGATGTTTTTACTGGCTGATGCAGCGAGCTGGGTTCCCTTACAGAGAATGCCAGTTAACAAATAAAATGGATTGCCTTCTTCTGCAGCACCTTAAAGAAACTTTTTGTCATTTAGATCAGGTGGGAGCAAAATCAAAATTGCTGATTATTTTTGTTTTCAGGAAAAATTGAAGATATTTAAAGCTAATTAAAAATTTAACAGTATTATGCAACCTGTTCAACCCAAGTTTATAAAGCCTTGAGGCTGAAGCTCTTAAGGAGTGAGAGAGTTTTTTGGTAAGGTCAGAGCTGTACGGATGTGTCTCAGGCTCTGGAAAACACAGCTAGTATTTTTAAGAGAGTTTAGCAGATGTCTCTCTCCTTAGGATCTACAATCATTTTAATAAAGGATAAAGATAAACCTTTGGATGTAATGCATAGTAGCAGGTAAATACATAGGTATAGACAGTTAATAAAATGGTATCATTTGAAGCACTTTCTTGGTATTGTGAACAGTCAACATTTAGTCATTGCTGTATATGAATTGCTACCTTTTTATGCTATTTGTTTTAGACCTTTCTTTTTCCAACTTATTTTAAAGCATTTTTCAAGTAATGTAATTCTGAATAAAAATTTTTTTGAGAAACATTAAGACGGGGTAATAACATTTCCCAGTTATTGAGGGAGTTTGCTTACTGGTTTGGACATTGTATTGGTGTGTGTTGATAATGAAGCAAACAAAAATGTACATAGTGGGAATTTCAGAAATGTTGAAAGAGAATCAAGGTACAGTTGAACTCTTGTTTTATTAAGTTCCAGTGGGAGTGGTAGGAAGTTGTAGGGCAGCCCTTTTATAGGTGAGATTTAGATGGCATTTGAAGAGTTTGCATGCACTTTTACTGATTCACTGACAGCATCTTTTCCTGGAATCAGGACATCTCTGGGCTTCAGGACCATGAGTTTCAGATTCGACATCCAGATTCCCCTGCCCTTCTTTACCAGTTTCGATTAGGAGATGAAAAACTCCAGGTAACACATCGGTATATATTTCCATGGGTAGAAAGAAAGGCAGCCATGTTCAATCAGACTGAGAGAATATGTACTTGCTGGAAACCTCATGAGGTGAGAATGTCAACTGGTTGTAAATTAGCTGCTAACCCAACATTTAAACCACTGGTAGAGTACAGATTAGAACAGATCTGAGCCATTATTTTAATTAGCCAGTATGTGATGAGTTGTTATTTAGAAAGAGGCACCATTCTTACTAGGAAATTATAAAGTAGATTACTAGGCACTTATTTTACATTTACTTTGAGATTTCTGGTGTTATATCACCCATTCAATTTGATGATAAGTTAGTTTTCTGGCCTATCATGCACTGAAGAAATAATGTTACTTCTGAAAGAGAATGCTTACTCGGTCTAACTTATAGGATCTGATCTGCCAGTTTTGTTTTTGGAAGAACAAAATTTATTTAATGGGTCAGTTTTTTCAGAAGGCAGTATCCTTCGTTGGTCATTCTTTTCCTTCCACGCACAGGCTCCGATGGCTTTGTTTTATCCAGCAACTTTTGGAATCGTTGGACAGAAGATGACAACTTTGCAGCACAGGTCCCAGGGTGACCCTGAGGATCCTCATGATGAACATTACCTGCTGGCCACACAAAGCAAGCAAGAACAGGTCTGTGGTAATTCTGTGTGAGAGGAGACAGTTTTGTCCCTGTATGAGAAGTTTGCCCATAATTAATGGATCATTGCAGTGGCTGCAACCTGACAGTATACTAAAGCTGATACTGTTTTTAAGACCGTAGATGAAGTCTGTGTTTAAAATCCAGATGACAGATTTCTTTATTCAGCAAACGTCAATTTTCAGAATACCAATCTACAAGATACTTCCCTTTTGGCATGTATTTTTAAAGTAGTTTATGTATAATACTTTATCTACTTTTGAATATTTATCCAGTAGTATTTTCAGTAAAAACTTACCTATTTTTAAATTATCATGCAAAAACTGGGTGGCACAGGCAAAGAGCTGAATTCTTTTGTCCAAAGCTGATCCTAGTTATAGGATGTCTGATTCAGGGGCACAAGTTAAAGCTCTTATCTGCTGATGAAACAGCAGCTCATGATGGAGAGAAGAGGGCAGTGAACCTTTTCTAGTTTTTGTTCCTGTCCCAAAGCTGAGCGTGGGGTTCTTAGATAAGGTCTGAAAATGAGGACCCGTAACAGCCAGTGGCCTAAGAATTCCAGTGAACTACTACACTTAAAAACTCAGGGGGAAAAGGTTCATCTACGTCGACATTTCAATCTTAAAAATCCTATCAGTAATAGCAAAGTTATAGCTCTTACTCAGGAGGAGCTGTGGAGGGTTGGAGGCAGGGAAGGCTTTCCTGAGGAAGAGCCATTTGAGAGAGAGGGAGCTAGGGGGAGAGTGAGGTGTTACCTCACGCGCTGCCTGCCCGTGATTGTTTTGGAATTGTCAGCACTTCCTCATCTTCTGCACACCACCCCTGACTCCTAGTTATCCAGGGGTGGGGACCAGGTGCTTGGTCGTAGAACTATGGTGTGTTTCCTCTCTGCAGCACAGTGACAGACGTTCTTTTTATAGAGTGTAGAGTAGTGGGGTAGGGAGAAGGGGGGGATCTAGCTGGAGAACATCAACCGTGTTCTATCATAGCCTTACCATCCATTTGATTCTCCTTTCGATTGATTTAAAGTCTGCAAAAGCTACTGCTGACCGAAAGTCTGCATCCAAACCCATTGGATTTGAGGGGGATCTTCGTGGCCAGTCCTCTGATCTTCCAGAAAGACTGCATTCCCAGGAGGTGGATTTGGGATCCTCCCAGGGAGACTGCTTGATGGCTGGCAATGATTCTGAGGAAGCTCTCACTGCACTGATGTCCCGGAAGACTGCCATCTCGCTGTTTGAAGGGAAAGCCCTGGGCCTGGATAAAGCCATCCTCCATAGCATAGACTGTTGTTGTAAGCACGTCTGGGAGCCGGGAGAGAGCAATTACAGGGTTCATGCTAGGGTGTGGTTTTGCCCTGCAGCATGTTCATGCAAAAGCTTTTGAGCAAAAGAAAAAAAAGGCTATTAAGCATCTGCTTGGCGCCTGCATTGTCGGGTGTTAGGGTCTGGCTCCTGGCCTCGCTGGGCATGGAGCCTCGTGGAAGAGACCCAAACAAGTCAGCTTACCACACAGAGGTGAAATCACAACTGTGCAGGTGCTACAAAACTGAACTAAAGGGTTCTGACTGACAGTGTCTGATTGAGGCACTTAATAAGGAGTTTTTACTCAGGAGGAGCTGTGGAGGGCGGGCAGGCAGGGAAGGCTTTCCTGAGGAAGAGCCATTTGAGAGAGAGGGAGCTAGGGGGAGAGTGAGGTGTTACCTTGGTATTCCAGGTAGACGAAGAAGCCTGTGTTAAGGCCAGTGTGGCTGGAAAGCAGGATGTAGGGTGAAGCTGTGGGAAGTGGTGGGTACACACCACACTGGACTTTGTAGGCCCCCCTAGAGATTCTGGTCCTAATCCTGCTACTAGCAGGGTCGGGGGTGGGACAGCAACATGCTCACATTTGTGTTTTGCAAGGTTCCCCTGGTTGCGTGGTAGCATTGTCTAGGATGGGTTGGGAGAGAGACCTTTGAGAAGGCTCCTGCAGTTATCCAAGCAAGAGATGACGGTGGCTTGGCCTGGGGTGGTGGTGGATATGGAGAAAAAGCGTGGAAGGGATTTCACTGTCTTTGCAGCGTCTGATGAAGCCAAAAAGAAGATGTACAGCTCCATCCTGGTGGTGGGAGGCGGTTTGATGTTCCATAAAGCTCAAGAATTTCTGCAGCACAGAATTCTCAATAAGATGCCACCTTCATTCAGGCGAATTATTGAAAATGTGGATGTGATCACAAGGCCCAAGGTATGTTGTACACAGTGCAAGTTGTACTCTTGCCAGTGAAACAGCATTATTTCTAGTTGTAATGTATTGGACAGAGAAAATCCTGGGAGGCGTGGGTTTGTGTCTGGGGAGTTCTTAAGGGCTTGGAGCAAGTGGAAAAATTACTTTCAGCAGGTCACAGATGTGGTGAAAGGAGCTCTGGACTAGGGACTAGATTACTGGCTTTTAGTCCCTGCTGTGCCCTCCAAACTAGCATGACTGACTTCCGCCTTTGTCAAAGGACTGGATGGGGCAAGGAGAAGACTGACTGTTCTCACGCTGTCAGCCAGAACAATTCCATTTTATCTCTTTCATATTAAGAATCTCCTCCTGGTCCCTAGACCAGGTGATCTTCAGGGATCTTTTTGGTTTGAACTATCTTGGCAACCATAAACACAGGAATTTAGAAACAGATTGTGTCTGTATTTTATTATTCTCACTGACAATTCCTGGGAATATTTTTATTTAATTTTAATTCTGAGGGAGGGATTGTGGGATATATTTATTCCAGTCAAACTTCAAAATAAGTTACGTCCTTACATATGTTGCTGCCTGTAGGGACTCTTTGTGGAATAATAGTAAATAGTGAATAGTAGCATTTTCAGTAATAAAAACTAAAAAAATTTCTTGTGAGTTGAAATAGAAGATGTCTGTGGTTCATGGATCTTTCATGGGTCTTTAATGCAAGTTGAAAATCTGATTTATTCCATATTGACTCAGCAGGGTGTTTTCTACCCCCAAATTCAAGTAAATGTCTTGTCTGCTTACACTGAAATATCTTTGCTTATCACCTCTCTAGGACATGGATCCCCGGCTGATTGCATGGAAAGGAGGGGCAGTGTTGGCTTGTTTAGATACGACACAGGAGCTGTGGATTTATCAGAGAGAATGGCAGCGCTTTGGCGTGCGCATGCTGCGAGAGCGAGCTGCTTTTGTGTGGTGAAATGGACAGAAAAGCCACTGTTGAAGACCAACACATAACCTTGTGGTATAAGACTCTTATAGAACATTTATATTCTAATTTATTGACCTAGGTGCTTAAGTTTTATGAAAATAAATGAATTTTAACTTTTATGTTGAGAACATGACATTGGTGTAAAAAAATAAGCTGCTTTTGTAGTCAGGACATTTGAGAATAAACATGAACTTAGTCTTCAGTGGTAAACTCTCCTGCCCCTTCTTCAGGGTCTCTAACTCCCGATGATCTAAATTGTTGCAGTAGAATGGTTCTCAGGTGGTGAAGCCCTTCATTTAGGTTGGCTTCTGAGAGTCATCAGGCAGTCTCACATAACCATGAGGGGTGGGTGTGTCATTGTGTACCTGAATTGTGAGAAATGTCTGGTCACGCATTTTCCCTCTTATCTAGTACAGCAAGCACATGTGTCATGACCTGTGTATGCTGCTACAATTCCAAATAGGAAAGAAAGTTTTTTGTTTTTTTTAAATTTTCTCCTGTATTACAAAAAATATTGGGGCACATTCAGGTCTAGATTTCCAGAGGCAAAGATTTAAGGCTGGGCTGGCTGGCTTTTGTTACTGACATAATCTAGGGTGGGCTTGGGGAAGGAAAACAGTCATTGACCAAAACAGAACAGAAATGAAAACTCATTTGCTTCCTAAAGCCAGATAGAAATGATTTAGGTTAATGATTTTCTAATGTGTTGTACAGATAAACAAGGAGACTGCTGTAATTTCTAACTTAAGCATCAGGTCCCCAATTTTCCTTTACCTGAAAAATGAAGTGAAAGCTCTTGGAGTACTTTTTGTTCAGTATGATCAGTTGACCTCAATCTGTGAGCAGTCTGAACCAAAGTTTAAATACAGACAGCTATTACCACCAGTGGTCCAGGCCTTGGTGCAGCCTTCTGAGCCCCGGCAGAGGAAGGGAAGGAGGTTTGGAGACTGGAGCCAGCCAGCACAGCCTATGGGCTCAGAGACCTGGGAGGATGGGGAGGATGCCTGATTCCTGCCACTCCCTGCCAGGGACCATCTCGCTTCTCTAGAACTGAGGGTGGGAGTGGGGCTGGGGGAAAGACAAAAGTAGATGCAGATAAGAGATGCAGGTAAGTGGAATATAGAAACAGTAAGGACGGTTGCGGGGAACTTCCCTGGAAGTCCAGTGGTTAGGACTCGGCACTTTCACTGCTGTGGCCCCGGGTTCAATCCCTGGTCGGGGAACTAAGACCCCACAAGCTGCGCAGCATGGCCAAAAAAAAAAAAAAAGGATGGTTGGAAGTTTTAGGACTTGGAGAAATGCTGTTACTAGAGCATTTTAAATAAATAGGATTATTTTGCATATCTGCTCAGTAGGTTGGAAACAAAGAAGAGTCTGCCAGTATTACAAAATTTTAATTTGCTAGTATTATTTGGGATGTTTGCCTTAAATTTGAAAATTGTATGCTTTTATGTTTTCAGTTTTTTAACAAAATAATTAAATTTATACAATACTGATTTTATGTTTCTGGGCTGTTTCAACACAGTTTAATACTGGCTACCTAGTTCTAAAAGCATAATGTATTTCTGTTTATAATAGTTTTTCACATAATAGCATATTGCTCTTATAACTGGTAGATGTTGATTCGGAGGAGGTTGGTTTCTGGTCCAAGTTTTGACATAAGCCGTCTTCTATTACTAGCACTTACAAGCACCGTGAAAACTGATCATGACAAGTAAGTGAGCTTTACCACATTAATTGTATTGCCTCAGGCATTGCTAAGTATTTGCTTGTGAACCTGGACACTCTATCCTTCCTTATTTTGGTCTTTATCTGTAAGACATGTATTAGAAGGAGTGGCATGGTCCTTTAAGGATAATCTACAAGAACAATTTAAGAGTCATCCACCTGAAACTGATCCACATTCTAGAGCAGATGCAGTCTTGCACTGTGCGAAAGAGACAAGCTTTCCTAGAAAAATATGGATGCTAATATAAACAACCTTTTTGTGACCTCTGCATTAAGAAAAAGATGCTTTGAGAAAAGTAAAAAGTTGGAAGACTTAAAACGCCACACATCTCTACATTCTGTAATTCTGTGGTAGATTCTGTTTTGTTTTTTGGTTTTTTTTTGCGGTACACGGGCCTCTCACTGCTGTGACCTCTCTTGCCGCAGAGCACAGGCTCCCGACGCGCAGGCTCAGCGGCCATAGATCACAGGCCCAGCCACCCCGCGGCATGCGGGATCTTCCCAGACCGGGGCACGAACCCGTGACCCCTGCATCGGCAGGCAGACCCCCAACCACTGCGCCACCAGGGAAGCCCTAGATTCTGTTTTTTATTTAAGTAAACCAGTGCAATAATTCATTTATAAAAAGACTAATTACTTCAAGAGGGCTAACTTCAACATACAAATTATTTTTGTTTTGAACACGGAAAGTTATGTAATAACCATAAAACTCTGAATTCTGACAGTGACTTCTAATAGGTAACTTTGGGCAAAAGTAGACATCAGCTCTGCAAGTGATGTATTTTGTTGTTGATGTTAAAAGTCACCTGTACAAGAGTCAGATAGGACATGAATCTAGTTCTGAGAGGGAGGGTCCTATGCAAATACCAAGTTTACAAGTGGTTCCACATAGAGTAGGTCATCTGGTCAGCAAAGAGAGGTTCAGCTTGTTATTCCCTATTTTTGTTATCTTAGAAATAAGGACTTGTGTGTGTAATAGAAGGTTTTTCACCTAAGAAGTTATTGAGTGAATTAGTGAGGACTCTTAGGTTTGGCATTCATTAATTAAACTTAGAAAGTTATAGATCTAAACAATTCTACCTACTCTGCAGAGCATGGACTATTCAAGACTGGATATTTGGCTGGGAGATGCTTTATCATTGATTATCTGAATGGTTATAGTTTGGTAAGTGTTCTTTTTTTTTTTTTTTTTTGCGGTACGCGGGCCTCTCACTGTTGTGGCCTCTCCTGTTGCGGAGCGCAGGCTCAGCGGCCATGGCTCACGGGCCCAGCCGCTCCGCGGCATGTGAGATCTTCCCGGACCGGGGCACGAACCCGTGTCCCCTGCATCGGCAGGCAGACTCTCAACCACTGCGCCACCAGGGAAGCCTTGTAAGTGTTCTTGATTTTTAGGTGTGAAATTGACTTAGCTTTATAGTTATAAATTCAGTTTCTGTTCTTTAATGCCACAGTAGTTAGTAAATTTGTAACAATTTTATTAGCATAAAAACTTTTAATTACTAGACTAAGGTGTATGTATTCAGTTGTGAATCCTCCCTTACTTCCTTTTGCTAAAGCAGGTATACATATGGTTGACCCTTGAACAACACAAGTTTGAACTGGGCAGATTCACTTATGTAGATTTTTTCAATAAATACATACTACCAGTCTGCAGTTGGTTGAATCCACGGATGCAGAACCACAGAGACAGATAGTGGACTGTAAAGTTATACATGAATTTTCGACTGCACAGGGGTCAGCACCCCTACCCCCTGGGTTGTTCAAGGTTCAGCTGTAATCCTCCCTACAAGTAGCCTGTACGGTAAACTTCAGAATCATCACGGATGCTTTCCTCCTGTAATTGGAGCAGTAGGAAGGCTTTAAGGTCTCCTGCTTCGTGGCTGGGCTATGGGGAGGAGCAGCTGTAGTGGCAGGCGTGCACCCTTCTCCCTGTCGACACACGTTGTTTGGCATGGAGAAGCTCTGTGCAGAAAGCCGTAGCATCCTTCATGAGGCGGTATGTGGGGCAGACACTGAGCCCAGTGTCGTTGTCTTTGGTATCCTCTCTGAAATAGACCACCACGTATTTGTGCAGGTGAGTCTGGCTTCTCAGATCGCTGCGGAAGAGGTTAAAGGCGATGGGGAACAGGTCTTGGGAGTTCTCACAGGGGCTGCCCCCCCTCTTGCCACAGGTACCATCACACATGGTGTTATCATTGGAAAGAAGGAAAATGACCTTATCCGTGGCTTTCTTCTGAGTGGTAAGCCACTGCACGGGACCCGTCTCGGCTATTTTCTTTTTCTGCCATTTTTCAAGGATGACTTCACTTCTGCAGTGGTTTTAAATAAATTCAGTGAAGTAGCAGACTGTGTGATGGAAACATATTTCAGATGGGTAAACCACAAGAACCTTAATGGGGGGCAGTAGTGTGGTAGTAGAGAAGGAAGTCTTCTTGATCCTTTCTGTGGGGGAGAAAAGCATTTGTCATCTGTGGACAGCAAATAACAGGCTTTTACTCTAGTCTAAACTATCGCTGATAAATGATCCCTTGCTAGGGCACATCAGCTGAGCACCAGGGATGTTATTACTGCCAGAGAGGAAAATACCCCTGATGTTCCTTTTGTACACATCATCTGAAACACACCAGTGCTTAAACCTTAAAGATGCTTAAAAGATGTATTTTCTAAGTCCCTGTCACTGAATTAGTCCTCTTGATTAAGCCCGTAGCTTTGCAAATAAATTCATAGAAACTGTTCAGGTTTAAGGTACTCTGTTTCAGGTGGGTGGTTGTAAATTTAGTATTTTTAGTGCCATATGTGAACAAGGACAGCTGACCTCTCTGCCCTTCACATCACGTTTTAAGTTGGGTCAACTCAGTAGTTGTTCCATCTTCTACCTACAGGTGGTAGAGTTTCTTTACAGTTCCATAAGGTTAAGTGGTACCCCCATTTCAGCTGGAACTCAACTGGAATTCTGTCCTATACGTGTTAAGGAATGGAAACTAGGTATGAAACTAACGAATACAAGTCAAACAATAGCCATTAATATAAGTATTCTTAAGGTCAAAGTTTGACGTGGCTTGCTTACCTAAGAAAGAAAATGGGATTAATCTTGTTCTGTATACAACATCACAAACAACTCAAAGACTACATTTATATTTCCTTGTCTATGTGTGGAGGGGAGGAGAAGCAGAGGTTTTCAGTGGGCCGCCCTCTAGCTGTGTATCTATATAAATATTCTGATTTCTTATTCAAGTCTTCAGTGTTTTAGAGTTGGCAAGATCCTTAGAGTATATGAATCCAAATGAGTGTTGTTCTTATGCTTTGGAAGAATTACTTTTCAAAAGTAGGAACTAGCATAGAGTACCTATCACAGGTAAAATGTGATTTGTTATCAGCTATCTTTGGCCCATTACACTCGTTGTAGATGCCTCGATGGTAAAAAGAAAACAGGTGATAGCAGATCTGGAGTCCCAATCCCTGCTTTACCTTAGCGGGTGTGGTCCAGTCATTATATTAGTCTTTAGGAGAGCTCTGAGGCATTAAATAAATGTCTGACTCTTGTGTAATGCCAAAATGTGATTGCCTTTGGAGGAATCTCCTTTTAAAAAAAAAAAAAATCAGTGTTATTTCCTCATCTGCGTTTCTTTAAAGAACTGAATTATAACCCTTACCATGCCTCCAGGTCAGATAGATCCCAACCGCCAGCACCCACGTGGCCACCAGCAGAGCCGAGAGGAGGAGAGGCAGCCATCCACCCAGCACACTTCTGCCTGGAGAAAACAAAGCTCATTCATCTTTAGCAGAACAGAACCAAATTTATCTCTTATTTGGAAACTAAAACTTTTACTCAGTGCTTTGTGGAAGTTTTGGTCCCTTTAAAGCCAAGGGTCAGTAGATCTCCAGGGGGTCTGCAGATCAGTGTGTTTTTCCATAGAGTGTCCAGGTGTTTCATTAGATTCTCAAAAGGGAGAGGGGGCCCAGGAGGTTAGGAACAGTCCTCTAAAACCATTTTGGCCTCTTACTCCACATTTTCACTGTGGTAACCAGAGTTTACGTTCGTTTGTTTTTTTCTTTGCTGAATTAATGTTATTCTGGGTGCAATTACTTAATACATAATATGGATAGATGGCATTTTTAAAGGCTGTTTTGTCAGACTGACAGATGTGGGGGGTCATGCCACCTGGTTACGGGAATGTTGAGGATCAGTTAGGCTCCAGCGTGTGAAAGTGCTCAGGAATCCATAGGCACTGCGCCTACACAGCAGTCAGGATTGTTACGAGGTGGGTTTCTAAGACCAGCACCTTTTAACTTTTTTTTTAAAAATTAATTAATTAATTTATTTTTGGCTGTGTTGGGTCTTCGTTGCTGCACGCAGGCTTTCTCTAGCTGCGGCGAGCGGGGCTACTCTTCGTTGTGGTGCGCGGGCTTCTCATTGCGGTGGCTTCTCTTGTTGCAGAGCACGGGCTCTAGGCACGTGGGCTCAGTAGTTGTGGCTTGAAGGCTGTAGAGCGCAGGCTCAGTAGCTGTGGCACACGGACTTTGTTGCTCCACAGCATGTGGGATCTTCCCGGACCAGGGCTCGAACCCATGTCTCATGCACTGGCAGGCGGATTGTTAACCACTGAGCCACCAGGGAAGTCCCCTTTTAACTTTTGACCCCACCCCTGGGCTAGTTCTGGAAGCATTTTATTTGTCAACCTGCAGTGAAGGTACTAACATCGCTAAATCCAGAGAGACATTCTCCAGAACCAGCTGCTCTCAGGCACCAATGACGTGTGTCTCTTGGTGCCACTATTCCTAATTTGTTATCCAAATGTTTGTGTGGCCACAATGAATTACAGTAACAGCCAGGCCTGGGCCACTGAGATGGATAAGAAAGTCAGAAAGCAGTGAAATGCATGTTCCCTCATATACTCAGTCCCTTTACAGCCCTGACGTTTTTCAGCAGATCCTTGCGGCACTCTGAATATCAATTTTGCACCGTTGATTTTGTTTCCCTTTTGTGTATATCCTGCTTGGTCACGGATCTTGATTTCATAAATGAAGCACAGGTATGGAAATACGGAGTCAGCTAAGGAGAAATGAGGGGCTCAGCCTTATTTCTACTTTCACCAGAACTTCTCTTCCCTTTTTTTCTGGCTTCAACCCCTCTCTAGCATTGTAATAGGACATTTTTTTTCCTTGGTCATACGTCTGTCGCAAAGCCCTAAAATACAGACTAGTGACTCAAGACCAAACACCTTCTAAGACTCCTGAGCTGTGAACCTAAACTTTGTACATGTTGCTAAGATGTTAATTTCCTTATCTAAAAGGGTTAGGTCACATCCTAATACATATACAAATATGTCCTCCAAAAAACAGAGCAGTGGGACTCCTCTTGACCTAAGCCAGCGCTTTACGACATGTAAGCCCCTTGGGACTAGTAGAGTCTGGTTCCCTGGAAAAGGGGTGCAGTCCTAACGTGTTGATGGGTATCTGCTCCGCTGGGCATGTCTGAGCTCTGCCTGTATGTCCCGGGAATGAAGAACAAAAAGGCCCTTATGTCTTGGGTGTAGCTGTGTCCTACCGGGACCCTCCATGGCCCCACAGCATACACTCAGAGTGGAAAGAGCTGTGAGAGCACCTGCTAGCCCAACTTCCTGTTCTCCAGCGCAGTAAACTCAGTCCCCGAGGGGACAGAGTTGCCCTTCAAAGTTCATATGCTGATTGGGAACCCAAGCCTGCTGATTTCAAGTCCTTTGTTACTTCATTTTGCAGAGAAAATGGAGGCTTGGGATAATAAAATGGCTCAGAGTTCCTCTGTGTTTCTGTGACAGAAAATAGGAATAAAAGCACCTTGGAAAGTCAACAGCCACTCACAAAAGCAGAAGGGACCGTGACGATAAGGTCAGCTTCCTGACCTCACAACTGTGAAGGTGGAAGCTGGGATTCCCCATCAACCTCACATAATGGCGAGACTGCTGGCAGAAGCGAGCTGGGGAGAGAACTCATCTGCTCCAACTAGAAAGACTCCTCAAAGGCAACAAGTTGCAGTGCAGTGGGTCTTCAGTCCCTTCCCTTCTCCTTCCCTCTCCAGAGCATCTTGTTCAGCTTTACCTGGACCACAGCACTTTCACTTTCCCCAGTCCCTTGAACCACCACGGAAGTTCGAGTTAGTTCCTTCTGGTGCAGGTGAGTGAGATAAAAATCAAGAATTAGGAGCCAGGGACTTCCCTGGTGGCACAGTGGTTAAGAATCCGCCTGCCAGTGCAGGGGACACGGGTTTGAGCCCTGGTCCGGGAAGATCCCACATGCTGCAGAGCAATTAAGCCCATGTGCCACAACTACTGAGCCTGTGCTCTAGAGTCCGCAAGCCACAACTACTGAAGCCCTCATGCCTAGAGCCCGTGCTCGGCAACAAGAGAAGCCACTGCAATGAGAAGCCCGCGCACCACAACGAAGAGTAGCCCCGCTCGCCGCAACTAGAGAAAGCCCGCAGGCAGCAACGAAGACCCCAATGCAGCCAAAAATAAATACATTAAAAAAAAAAAAGGTATTAGGAGCCATACGAATGATTAGATCAAAGACTGTCAGTGAAGACACCACTCTTCCCAAACTGACTTTGAACTCATTAGACTATGTGTGAGTCAGGATTCACTTCATACTTCTGAGACCTCTACCTTTGGTTGGTTTTAGAGTCAGAGGGATGTTTCCAGGGATGCTCCCAGGGACTTGTTTTTCTTTGTCTGAATTAATCAAAATATCCCAGCATATTTGTACAGCAGACAGTTCTGCCTGTGCTCTCTCAAAAGAGAGCCTGTCCAGGAAATCTGCATCTTCAACAAGAGAAGGAGAGCTGGAGGTTGAGGACGGGGGTGGTGTTGAGGAAATGAAGGGGAAAAAAGTACCTCCAACACATAAGTCCCAATTACAGTGGTATTTTGTATGAGAGCCATATATCTGTTTCCAGGGGGACTGGTTGTAAAGTTCACTTCTACCATGGTCTCATTCTTCTTACAAGCAGTGATGTTTGGATCCCACAGACTTCCTGTAAGTTGAGAGAGAATCACAAGGCTGGAGTTGCAAACTCAGCCCTCATTTAAGTCCCCATAAGGGCTTGACAAAAACAGATGTACGTTCTGAGGCACACGTCCAAGAGATACTTATTCAACTACACAGTGTGCCTTTTATTTATCATCTCAAAGTAACCTGCTGCCCATGAAAGTTTAGTGACCCCATGTCACTGCTTTGCTGAAAACAGCTTCCCTGGGCTGAGGGTGGTGAGAGGCACAGGCTGGGTTTTACTACTCCATTCTATTCTCAACATCCATTTTGAGTGAAGGGCTGGGGTCAGGATTTCCTCCTTTCCGGGATGCGGGGCAGGAGCCACAGGTTAGGAGACATGTCTGAGTTTATAGAGCGAGGGAATTCAGCTAGAACTAGAACGCTCTGGGCTCCAGGAACTCCACCCATCAGGCCACTCTGCCCCAGCTTTACTGGATGTCAGGAAATAAGGAAATATCTCACGGCTTAGAAGGTACCCGGACAGGTCCACTCTGAGGAAAAGCTGGTGGTTTCATTCATGTGGCTTGCAAATCAGTGCTCGGTTAATTTCCAGGAACATGATATAGAATACCGTGTATTATTTTCCCCACCCAGGAGGCCATTTCAAGTCCCAGCTCAGAACTGTCTTTAGGAGTTGGGTTCTAGGACTGATTCGAGGCCCTCAGACCCCCTCACATCCCAGTGAGCTCCAACACTCCAGATCTCTCCTGGTGGGGGGCGAGAGAGGAGGCACAATGCTCCAAGTCTGCCTTCCAGCGAGGAGACGCGTGCACTCAGCCTGCTGGGGTTCATAGGGATGCCTGTGGGGTGGGGGTGCCTAAGAGGCAGGGACTGATCCCCCCCAAAACCACTAGCCTCATTAGCACCCTAAGACTATTACCCAGAAATGCACAGAAATCCTTGTAAACCCCTTGGAAGTTGGCCAGTTGGGACTGATTTTCCTGAAGGGGCTTATTTAAAAATGCGAAAGATGGGGGCAGGTTCTAACAGTCTGGCCTGTAGGATGTGGACCCCTGTGAGGTCACAGGTTGACGGCCTGCTTCTAGGTCACTACTTTAGCTAACGCTCCCACCTTGAATGTTTGCACGTCCAAGCAGAAGGTGTGCAGAGTCCCCGTGACCACAGTTCAGTGGTACTGGTGTCTGAGCAGGTGGGGGACTTACAGATTCCCATCCAGGCAGGAAGGGCCTTTGGTTTGGGCTAAAATGTTACTTTAACCAAGGGAGCAGGGTGTTTTTTTTTCTGTGACTTGCTCACCATATAAACCTACTAAGAGTCTGTCCATCCCTGGGTTCAGTGGGCACGGCGCTGGCCAGGATCAGCCTTCACAGTCTGAGCAATTCGGATACATAACAGCCCCACTCTAGGCCTCAGTTCCTTCATCTTAAAAAGCTTGAGCTGCGCTGACTCACGGTATGAATTTCTTCTAATAACAAAAGCAAATGCTGTATTTACTTACCTGCCTCGATGCACTTTTTTTTTTGCATTTCATTATGTGGTCCAGGCAGCCTGGAAATTTGAATGAAAGTTTTTACATTTTAGAAGAAGGTATCTCTGCTCCACCCCCTTGCCAACAAGTGTGCATACACATATGCTTACCACACCTGTAATGAATTGTCAGACATTTCAGATATGAGGTCAGATAGCAGATTTAAATGAGATGCTAACATTATACTGTTAAACAGAAGATTATTCAGGAAGTGATAACCAGAGTCTAATTTAAATACAGCCTTTATCAAAACTATCTGTGATCCCCAAGAGAAGACTTAGAAACCAACCATTATTCAAAAATGAGATTTGGTAATATGTGTAGATACTGCCCCTTCCAGGAGGTGGAGCTTAATCCCACCCTATATCCCCACCCCAGGATGGGGTAGACTTAGTGATTTGTTTCCAAAAACTAAAATTTGGGAAAGGGAAAAATACTAGATTACACAGAGAAGCCTGGCAGACACCACTTAACCAGTGACAAAGGTGAGCACCACCTGTGACGTCCTGTGCATGTCACCCACCCCTGATAGAGTCATGAGAAGAGTGCTTCACCTCTGCGGAATTCTCACCAAACACACCTATATCCCCAGTCTAATCATGAGACAAACACCAGACAAACCCAGATTGGGTTTGCAGGATGTATGGCCATCATGCCTCAAGACTGTCATGATCTTGAAACACAGGGAAAGACTAAGAAACTGTCACAGATCAGATGAGATGAAGGAGACATGGGGGACTAAATGCCACTGAGACAGAAAGAGGACATTAATGGAAAATCAGGTGAAATCCAATAAAGTCTGGAGTTTAGTTCACAGAAATGTACCAGTGTTGGACTCGCAGTTTTGACAAATTGACCACGGTAATGTAGGATGTTAATGATAAGGGAAACTGGGTGAGAAGTATATGGGAACTCTTTGTACTAGCTTTGCAACTTTTCTATAAATCTAAAATTATTCCAAAATATAATTTAAAAAATAAGATTTAGTCTCATCAAGAAAGCTGGGCACTACTGTGTAGTAAATGATGTGATGCCAAGAATACACTGGACCACGACCAAGGAACAATGACAGATTGGAAATTGCCCCATTTGGCTTCGATGCTACACCTGGGACAGGGACAGGCATGGGATATAGAACAGGTGACCCAGCCGAGTGGGGGTGACGTGTGGGAGCTGCTGGGGCCGGGCACCATGCTGGACCTTCCTCACCCATGATCCCATCTCATCCTCACCCCAACCCCGTGTGTGATACTGCAGGTGTGACACCAGAGAGCTGATTGTGTGTCACAGAGCAAGGGAAAGAACCCAGCACTCGGTGCCACCTGCCTCTTCACCGCAGCTCAGGGGAGAAACGTACTGGAGTCTGTACATCCTCAGAGACCAGCCGCACGCTGTCAGACTACACAGCCTGCCAGGCAACTGAGGCTGGAACAAGCGTTTTGCATCAACAACAAAGAATGGCTAAAGTGCATCAGTCCAGAAGGACCAGAGTTTGACTGTCAGCTTCACTTCTGCATGTGTAACCAGGGCAAGTTACTTAAGTTCTCAGTTTCTTTATCTGTAAAACGGGGCTGTCCCAACCTTGGGATTGTTGACGGCTTAAGTGAGATGATGCGTGTCAAGTGCTCAATCAGTGCCTGACACACAGGAATGGGCTTTCCCCTCCATTTCACCTGACTTAATCCTCTCCTTGTGAGTGAGGTGCGGTTACTGTCATGTCCATATTACACACGAGGAAGCCGAGACTCAGCAAGGCCAAACGCCTTGTCCAGGGTACCTGGCTTCTCTGTACCAAACCACATACCAAAACAGGTGTCCCAGCAAGACAGTAAGAGAAGAGTGAGGAAATGTACCTGGTGAGGTGAAATTCACAGCCAGGGAGGGGCCGTCTTCATTCATATTTGCATTGGGGATGTTATGGGCCCCAATGAAATAGACTGTGTTCAGCTCTACAGGAAAGCCAATGTAGGAAAACATCCACTGCAAGGCAAAGCGGGAAGCCCTGAATTTCCAAGTTCTTCTCATTTATAATTTCATTCCTTAACCTACTGCTGAAACTCATGTCTCTAGTCAACGTCTGCTAAGGAAATGGACCCCACACTGTTTGCCAGTGTATCTCACAGAATCAGAGAAGTGTAAAATTCTAGAGCCAGGATGTAATTTAAGTTCAGCTTCCCTCACTTTGCTGATGGGGAAACTGAGGCCCAGGGATGCTGACTTGCCCAAGGCACACAGCAGAGAAATGGCCCCAAATGGGATTTGAACCCAGGCATTCTGCTTCAGGCTCCAGGTTGTAGCTCTCAGCAGCCTGTTTGTGAGCACAACATCCACACCCCCAACAAAGGACCTGGATTAGTGGCAATTAGCCAAGTGTCTCCAAGTGCTTACTTTGACCTAGAAGATTCCCTCAGTCCTTCAAGGCACAGGGGACGAAAAGAAACCGAGTGCCATGTTGAATACGGTCAAACCACAAGCTTTCATTTGCCAATTAGGCAAAACACCATCTTTTTCCTTAAATGCATACATAAGGGATGAATGCTGAGCTGGTTCCACTTCACAGTTTGAGGGAGACTACATGGCCCCATGGTAGGCTATGATGGGCCATAGATTAACCACTAGTACACTTGACCCTCAAGCCTGGCCATCACCTCCCTTAAAGACCAGAGGTGGGTTTTTTACCCCTCTCTACACCTCAGCCGTCTCTGCTACAAGCAGGGGATAACTCTAGACCACCATGAAGGTCCCTTCACACTCTAATGTTTAACTGCAGGCTTTCAGGACAGTCTAGAATATTTATTGAGTTTTCCCAGGTTAAGGACTGGCTATGCCAAGAAGATAAGTAGAAGAGTGCAGTCCATGGTGCCTTTCCCAGGTGCTTTAAAAAATTCTTCTTCTAATATAAAAGGACTCACCTGAGATATTTACAAAATCATAACGCAACTATGATTTCATCATGTTATCTTTTAAAAAGAACTTTTAGGGCTTCCCTGGTGGCGCAGTGGTTAAGAATCCGCCTGCCAATGCAGGGGACAGGGGTTCGAGCCCTGGTCCAGGAAGATCCCACATGCTGCGGAGCAGCTAAGCCCGCGTGCCACAACTACTGAGCCTGTGCTCTGGAGCCCGTGAGCCACAACTACTGAGCCTGCGTGCCACAACTACTGAAGCCCATGCTCTGCAATGAAGAGTAGCCCCCGGTCTCTGCAACCAGAGAAAAGCCCGCACTAGCAATGAAGACCCAATGCAGCCAAAAATAAAATCAATAAAATATATAAAATTTATTTTAAAAAATAATAAAGAGAACTTAAAAAAATAAATGATATCATCAGTGTCTAAGAAAGGCCAGTATTAAATCCTTTGGAGTTAACTGCTCATGTCTTTTTATAAGAAAAAATAATTAGTACTTTGGTTTTGTAATAAAATACTGGACCTAAAAGGCAGCTGCAAGTTCCAGTGACATGACACAGCGTGGTTAAGTCCACCAGCTCTGGAATCTGATCCTTCACAGCCTCAACATGTCTAAACACCTTGTATGACAGAAGGCAAGACTTGATAGTTTGAGTAGCCTGAGTTGGGTGAAATTCTCAGTCGCTCATCTTTGTCTTTTTAAAGCTGAACTCCAAGGGATATCATCAGGCAGCTTTTTAAACAAATGAGCCACCATACTGGGAGCTACGTTCTTGTCAAAGGGCTGGTGAGACAAATTTTAGGAAGAAGCAAAGCAACGGCTCTAAACTTTACAGAGTTCAAGCTGTTGGCCTAACAGCAGCTACTGCAAAGGCAATGAATTCTTCCTCTAGTGGAAAAGGCCAGGGAGTGAGGGGATGGGCTCCGAACTGAGACAGAGGACAAGGAGAGTAGCTGAAGACATAAGGGCAGGGAATGGGGTTTGTCTTTCCATCACCAAGTAACACCAGGCTTTTATGCTATGTGCTATGCTAAAAGGGCAGCAATATAGCTTCAAATGCTATTTCGCAGATGAGCTTTTCTTTAATGACCCAGAAGATTCTCTCAGTCCTTCAAGGCACAGGGGATGAAAAGAAACCTGCAGTAGAGTTCAGGAGCTTAGCTCTGAGGACAAGGGCCCCAGTACAGCGAAATTAACAGGGCAAAAAAGGCGAGTGGAATGGAGAAGGAGCTCTTGTGCCCCCAAAGAGGACAGACCTCAAGACCCCAGGCAATAACAATAGTGAAAACCTACTATGTGCCAGGCTCTTTGCTGCTGCCTTGCAGGCCCTATCGCTGTCCTTCACTAGATCCTGGTAAGTTAGGTATGACCCTTCCTTACACAGATGAGGACAAGAGGCTCCGTGAGCATAAATGGCTAAATCAAGAGCACATGGTGGCATGCGAACCCAGGTTTGTCTGATTCCCTTGCCCCTGACTCAAGCAGCCCGACGCCCGGTGCCCCAGAGCATGCACACGCGTCCCCTACAGACGGCCCTCCGCGAACGCCTTGGAGAAGCATGAGCTGACGGGTGGGACGAATTTGGGTCCGGGCTCGAGGGAGGGGAAAGCGGGAGGGGGCGCGGATGTGGGCTTACCGGCTCCGGAGGCATGGCACCGCAGCACAGCGCGGCCAGGCTCAGCAGTACTAGCGCATCGCGGGGCCACTGCCCGCCACCGCTCGTAGTCCCTGCCAGCCTTCGGCCAAGCTCTTACCCCGGCGGCCGGGGCCACACCTCCGGGCTCCGCCTCCCCCAGCACCGCCCAGGTAGGGGCGGCCCCCTGGCGCCCTTCCTGGGTAGGGAAAGAAGTGCCCCGGCCTGCAGGGGCCGTGAGGGATGCCTGGGTCCGAGCGGCTCTCCAGCAACCGCGCACGCGCCGGCTCAGCGCACCCGTGCGAGCAGTGAGCCAGGTGCACGAGTGCACGCACGCCCCGCTCGCCCGAGCCCGGCGGGCCCGCCTGGCGTCCGGTCCCCTCCCGGAGCAGGTCGGTCCGAGAGGCCCGCGGTGCCCCTCCTGGCCGCCCGGAGCGCGCGGAGCGCCGGCGCCGCCAGTTAAAGTGTAGCGGGGCCGGGCCGCCGCCGACCGTCCCTGCACTCTGGCCGAGCTGCCCACGGTGAGTAGCGGGGACGCGCTAGACCCCGGGTCCACCCGCCCCGAACGGCCCCGGCCGCAGCCCGGAGGCCCCAGCGGCCTCGGGCCGAGAGGTCGGGTGGGTCCGGAGGACCCCGGCCGGACGCCGAGGCTGGGGCTCCACCTGACGCTACGGCTGAGCCCCCGGAAACTAAAACAGTGGGACGGGGAGAGCAAAGCCTCACTGAGTTCTTCGCGGGAGTTAGTTCCTCGTAGGAACTAAGTTATATGTAATTCGTGTAACAGAAACCCTCCCTTTCCCTGGGTGTTCTGGTCAACGTATGTTTTCACAAAATGAGGCCTGACACTAACACTTCAGTCTCCGGAGGCGGAAGCCTTCACCCTTTGGGTCTGGAGGCGGGTTTTTGAGTTTCCTTGAGCTCAGGATTTATGAGCAGCGTTAAATGCAAATTTTGGGCCCGCCTTTCAGAGAGCCAGCCCAGCCCCTCAGGTCCAGCAGGGTCCGGAATCTGCATTTAACTTGACATGGCTGGCAATTCTGTGCAGGTGGACCAGGACCATCCTTTGAGGCACGGTGGTTTGGGGGAAGGTTAATAAAAATCAGCTGGGCCAACAGCAGATCAGAGTGCTTGGAACTTTGCTGCTTCAGCTGCCTGGGTTTGCAAAGGACAAGGTGGGGGTGACCAACTCAAGGTCCCTTAAACTTGTAGGCCAAGTTAGCTTCATTCTTTACATGAGACCAAGGCCTAAGGAGGAATGAAATTGTCAGCTGGTGCGAGGTTGACTTAGTCAAGCAGCTCTTTTGCTGAGGTCCTGTGCACCAGGCCTGGCCCACCTGCCTGAGTAAGATTTGGGCCAGCATGGAGTGGGCCCAGCTAGAGCTGGGGGCTGTGGCATGCACACATGTAGGTTTCAGGTGATGCTTCCAGAGGATTGGTCTGGTTTCTAACCAAGGAGAGTGGCTCAGGTGAGGCTGTTGCCTCACCCATGCCTGGGGCTGGGCCACCCTGGGCCCCTCGCTCAACCTCTCTGAGTTGCTTTGAGCCCTGGGGTCCCAGAGATCATTTGCAGCTCTAATAGTTGTCTTTCTTCTGAGCAAACACGTGCAGGGTGCCAGCCCTGGGGTGCAAAGGTGCCTTTGGACTGAGGAGGAGGGCGGTGAGAGCATGTTCCAGGGCACATGTGCCCAGCCTGCTGTGGAAGCGCAGATGCAGACAGCCTCATTTTCCAGCTCTTGAGATCGTGAACTTTATCCCATGGTGCAGAGGAACCACGGCAGACGTCTTGGTGGTGGTCAGTTTTCAGTTTTAGAAAGCCCACCTGGGTGGCTATGCCAGGCTGTGGGAGGCCAGTCCCTCTGAGACCAGCGAGGAGGCAGGTGCTAACCAAAATGCGTTCACTGGACAAATAGCCGAGTCCCTGTGGGCCAGGCTTCGAGCTGTGCCAGCTCTACAGCTGGCCCCAAAGCAGGCCCTGCTGCAGGAGCTTGGGCTGTTGAGTGTGAGGGCTTTGGGGACAACCAGGGATGCAGAGGTTAGTCCTCTATCTGGAGATAGAGTTTGTGAGTCAGACATTTATAGGGGTGGTAGAGAAGGGAGGAGGATAGGTCCCCGGGGAAGGAGAACTCCCTGGAGGTGAAGGCTAGGAGGGCCTGCACCAGGAAAACCCGAGAGTGAGGGGGCAGCCGAGGTGTCAGATGAGGCAGAGGGGCCAGGGGTGGCCTGGCCTGAGGTGGGCCCCTGGCTTAGGTCCTTGGCAAAAAGGGGTGAGACAGGCAGGGGAGGAGGAGTTTGGAGGTGGGAGTGGGGTGGTTTTCTTTCAAGAAAGGGCAAGGTTAAGATCGTTTCTCCAGGGGAAGAAGCTGGTGGGCAAAGGAGAGAGGAAATGTGAGGCCAGCATGGTGCCGAGGTGGCTGGGCTTCGGGTAGGAGGAGGGAACCTGGGCAGCAGGTGCTGGCCGTTGACTTGGGACACAGGCTGAGGGATCCCCCAGTGCCCTGGGTCCAGGGCTGCGTGTGTGTGGGCACAGAGGTGACACTGCCCTGGCCCTGGTTCTCTGATGCCCACGGCAGAACTGCAGAGTGGGCAGTCCCAAGGAGAGCCCTTCAGCCACAGCTGGTGTTCTCTGTGGGCCAGCGAGGTGTGCCTGCCTGTCTTTTCGGGGGGAAGGGGTCTGCTCTGGCTCAGAAGTTCCTTCCAAAAAGTGTCCCTCCACAAGAGGGCCTTGTTGGTTAAGCATGCAGCCTCCGAGGTGGCCTGCTGGAAGGAACACCATTTGTTTGAATGCCTAAGTCCAATAGTGTCGTGGCTTTAAACAGGAGGCAGGGCCATTGCGGGTCAGGAGGTCTCAGCTTCCTCTCTGTCTGTAACCTCTGGAAGTCACTGCCCTTCTCAGAGCCTCAGTTTCCTTTACTGTAAAGTGGGCGGATGAGACAGTGTAATGGCAGTGAGGTGACTCAAGTCCGTGAGGGAAGTGCAGATGCTCTGATCTTCCCCCTTTGGCCATGAATTCTGCTGGGTCTAGGTTTCTGAAAGAGCCACTGTGCAGTGTGCCTTCAAGTCTTGGTATTTAGGAGGCGCTTGTGAAATGCTTGAATGAACGAATGAATGAGTGCGTACCTTCCTCCTAGGCCGGCACCAAAGCCTGCCTGCCCAGGAGAGCTGGTTTGAGTTTCTTCCTCCTCTTCCTCCTCTTCCTCCTCTGGTGGGGTGAAGGGCACCTCTCCTGGAGTCTGGAAGACCACTTTGTCTAGTACCCATGGCTGTGACCCCAGAACCCCTGGGACAGGTTCTGTGCCGCTGCTGGGGGGTGGAGAGACCAGGGTTCCAGATCCCTGGCCGTGCTAGTTACTCCCCAGTGCCAGCCTCGGATGAGGCTCTGGTTGTCCTGGGGCCTCAGTTTCCCCATCCATAACATGAAGCTGACATCAGCCCTCGTGGCCTGGCAGGGCTGTTGGGAGACTCTGAAGAGGTGGGAAAAAGCTGAAGGACTTAAAAGTGCTGTGTAAATTTAGGGGCAGGGGAGGTGGGACAAGAAATAAACAAATGATCTCCACGGCCCAAATAGGGAAATTCCTTTGGACCCAAGTGCAGCGATGCCCGCAGGCTGTCGCTTTTGTCAGACCTTTGTTTCTCTGTCCTATGCGTCAGCAAGGGAACAAGACCATTAGGGTTGTTGACATGTCCCAAGCCCAGTCTCCACCCACACAGGTGGAATTTTCCACTTCTTCTGTTTTTTCAAATATTAATCAAGGCCCCAGCCAGTCCACAGTGGACCCATTGTCTCATGAAGAGCAAGCAGTTTCTGGCAAACACTGGCCACCTCCCAGGGCCCCGGAAGCCCCCCCGAGCTGGGACGGGTGCTGTTGGGAGCACCCCGCCCTCGGTACCACCCTCCCCCCGCCACCCAGTGTTCTGCTCCAGCTGGTTGAGTTTTGCAGAGTCCGTGGCCATGCCTGCTTTGAGCCAGGGACCCTGAGGCCACACTGAGAGCTTGCCCCCTGCTCTCAGTGGGGCCGTGGAGCCGCAAACGGTTTCTCTGCTCCAGTGAGGAGGGCTGGCCCAGGAAGGCCCACAGACGCAGGCCACGGTGTTAAGTCCATGTTAACACTACCCCTGCCAGTTCCTAGGGCGAAACCCCATGAGGCCACAGCCCGTGTGTACTTGCACCAATCTTCACATGCGCTGTCACACTGGCACCTGGAAGAAGGTCCAGAATGGAGAGGAGGCTGGTTCTGTTTTTCTCTCAAAGCCGCATCTGTATGTGGGTGACAGAGTCGGCCTCCCAGAGCTTGAGGGAGGATTACTGGAGATGTCAGGGGGTAGAGCTGTGGGCATGTGTGGGACTCATGGCAAAGGGGCAGCCACCTATCTCTCCATCAGTGATACTTGAAACCAGGGTCCGTGGATGCTGGTTGATGTCCTACACTAGTCTTGGTGCCTGATTGATTCCTGCACTTTCGTTCAGTGATGGAGCTGTTCGTAGTTGACACAGGGAAGCAGTGGGCGTTTTTAAGCAGCTCACCTGGCAGTCCGTAAGGCCCTCTGCCGCTAAGCCCCTCCAGAAGCTTGAAAGGGACACAGTAGCGGGCATGTGTGGGAAAGTTGGCTGACTCATATCTCGCCGCTGGTTTATAAAAGAAAATGAGCTGGCTACCTGCAGGGCTGCTCCCAGGTGTGATCTGGCGTCCCTGTCCCTGCCATGCCGTGGCTGGATGGCGCTTCGACAGGGGGTCGCTTAGCACCTCCAGGGCCTTGCTGGCCTTCGGAGGAGTGTGTCTCCGAGCCTGTCGTAGTGCCTGAGTGAACACGGATTAAAGATCAAGCAGGCCTTGCATTTCTCTAATGATTAGTGATGTTGAGCATCCTTTCACGAGGTGTCACCTCACACCAGTCAGAATGGCCATCATCAAAAAATCTACAAATAATAAATGCTGGAGAGGCTGTGGAGAAAAGGGGACCCTCTTGCACTGGTGGTGGGAATGTAAATTGATACAGCCACAATGGAGAACAGTATGGAGGTTCCTTAAAAAACTAAAAATAGAACTACCATACGACCCAGCAACCCCACTACTGGGCAT